GGGGGGGGTCTTTTCAAACCACTTATATTGCAGGAAACTTAAACCAGAATGTAAAATATTAATTATATTTTCAGGTACTCCAATTCTCTATATATGATCAGAGAATTTTTTTACTTTTGTTTTTTGAGGTGGAAGTTTGGAGACTAACATGAAGCTATGATAACCTCCCCACAAGTAAAGAACTTATGGGCATGCACACACTAGCACATAGACATACAGAAGAGTTGAGGAAATTCAAACTGGCAGAAGAAGAAAATGCTACATTGCCTCCAATGTTCACTTGCAATATTTTTTATTAACATTTTGCAGAATAAATGCATAGCAAACATTAACTGCTAGTATTTTCTTACACAGGCACAAAAAAAATACCAAAAGGATTGAAGAGCAGACTTTAAATGCTGATTCTGACCTGTCTGCTAGTCAGTGCTACAGGCTGATTTGCTGATGGTTTTCTCTGAAGTCTGTGAGCCCAAAGACACTTTACATGTATAAACCTTATCCATGTTCCAGTCTGATGTCTGGATGGTCAGAGAGCTGCTGATTTGGTAAGTCTGGTCTGGTCTCTGAACAGCAGTGCTGGTAGAGATCCCACTGCTCACTGGACTCCCAGCAGCCAACCAGCTCACATCTGCAAAAGACACAGACTGACTGGACAGACAGACCAGAGAAGCCGTGTCGGACTGGAGCTCAGCACTGGACGGAGGGAAGACTGTCAGGACAGGAGGAGAGACGCTGGAGCCTGAAAATACATGAAAACCATTTAAAAAAACAAAAAAAACAAAAAAAAAAAACCAAGAAGAAGAAGAAGAAGAAGAACAACAACAACAACAACAACAACAACAACAACAATAAAATGAATAAATAAAAACTGGATCAATATAAAGTAATGTATGAAAAAATACTATACTTTAACTCCCAAAACAGCTAAAATAACTTCTCCAAAATACATAAAAGCTATGTCTTACAACATCATCATCAGGCCAGAGATATTGGATGAAGATGATATTTATCATAAAATAAACAACTCGCATAAAAGACAATGGCATCTGTAAAAAACAAGGAATAGTCATCTAAAGCAGAACAACAAGATAGATTTTTTTTTAAATCAGAAAATTGTTTGGGTTTTTTTCACACAGATGAAAAAATAATACCAGCTATGACAAACTGCAGACAAAATGGGTTTAATTCTAAAACCAAGCAACACTAAGGTTAAGGTCAGATTGTTCAATTATAGTCAGTTTTCCACCTTTGGTCAAATGTTTGTTACTACTGAGAGAACATAGAATAATTTCCAGAAAATATTATTTAAAAAATGTTTTCTGAGAGGCAGATAATACAAACCTTTTTTTTAAGAATAATCAAGTTCAATATCTGTGTCTGTGCACTAATGAAGAACTTAAGTCACATTACAACGTGTGATCAACTCTGTAGCTTGCAGACTGCTTGAAACAGCAAAAAAAAGTCTAAAGAAAAATCTAAGTATATGAGAAATGAGAAAATTAGAGAATCTAAGCATAAACACAAAATACCTCCTGTTTCATGATCATTTAAAAAGTACTTACTTGTCACAATCAGCTTGGTGCCTTGTCCGAATACCACAGTGATTCAGTTTGTATACATGGCTGTACAAAAACCTCCTGACTGTCACTGATGAGGGGAGAGGAACTGAAACATCCAATTGAGACCAACTTTCACTGTCAGTGTCGCTTCCCCATATATTGTTGATCAAATGCTAATCTGATGTTGACAGATGAGTACATGTGAATATTGGAGAGGACAAGCCAAACCCATAAAGTGGAAAAATATAGCTATAATAAAAATACAGCACAAAGTAGGGATGGGACTTGATAAGAATTTAGTAATTTAGTGATTATCAATATTATTTATCAATTCGATTCTTTATTGAGTCTCACTGAATTCTCACTGGCTTTGCTTCTAGAGTCACCAACATCACTGAAAAGCATATTAAACACAAAATTATTTGCACGCTGTGTGGTCAAACATTTGAACTTGTTAGAGGTATTTCCCGTCTTTGCTGTGATCATTGTTGGGTTATTACTCAAAAAAAGTAATGTTTTATACATTACTCATTACTATTCTTAAAGATAATGCACAAATAATGCACATGACTGAATTATTCCCAGTAGAAAGTAATTCTCTACACTAGTTACATTACTTTTGCGTTTCTCCATGAAATGGCCTGAAATTCATTGTCTCATAATTGCTAGTGAACAATATAAACCTGAGGCTACAGTCCCATACACCAACAGAAATCCATATCCTAAGGAGAACACACACATGATTTTTCTCTTAGTGTTTAGGTGTGAACTCAAAGCCATCAGCACAGCAGTCGTCACTGTGATTCTAGTTTAGAAACATGAACAGGTAGAAAAGGAGGCTGCAGTCTGACTGCTCATCACTGCTTTTATTACCTGTTGAAGTTTAGAGTGTGGCTGCTGGGCTGGGGTCAGCATTTACACAGCTTTAACCTCAATATTTTAAATGCACAGTACAACAACAAATTAACAAAAAAAAAGTCAAAGTCAAAAAAATGTAATGATTTCAAATGGTTAGAATTTATTTTTAAAATCTGTGGAGTCTCTCATTTAGTTTTTTGTCACAGTGTTGATATTCTTCCTTTAAAACAACATATGATATAAAGAGGTGTTCCTAAAAACACACACAACGGAAATATTTACTTCTGTTTTATTTATGTCTATATATCAGAGCCATCCCATGTCTGACAGAAATACC